ACTGGTGTGATTCTAGAACTCTATAATAGAGAGATGTATACAAGAATAGACAAAAAAAAAAAAGAGAGAATAGACAGCTCAAGAATATGCCTGATGATACATTTGTAAATAAATGTGTTATGAGGGAGGCATTACAGATCACTGCTGAAAAGATCTATTATCAAATAAACATTGGGGAGAATAATTGGTTAACTTACTATGAAATTTTCTTTGTAGTTGTTTTTTAATTATTCTTAACTACTGGGCATTAAAACTTTCCTGTTTCATTTAATATAAATAATCTAAACTTTATGGTTTAAAGCCAACCAGAAAAATATCTAAAAATACAGATATAGTGATACACATTTTAAAAATTTCAGGGCCTTTTAAGTTTAAAAGCAGAAGGACATGCCAAAGAAAGATATTTAGACTTATTAAAAAAAGATATTTTAGATAATTAATGGATGAAAATTTCCTGAGCATGATAAAAAGCATGAACTTAGATATCACAGAAGCTCTGCAAACCCCAAGCAGGATAAGTAAAAATGAAATCTCATCAAGACATATTAAGGTGAAAGTGCTATTTTCCAATGTTTTAAATTACTATGTTTCTTCCCAACCTCTTTCAGGTGATTATGTCATTCATTTGCAACAAAATTATCATTTGGCGGGTGGAATGTGAAACATTACCATGGTTCTAAGAGTCAGAATTACAAAAAGGTATACTCAGAAAAGTGTCCTTCTCCCTCATCTCTTCTACCAATCCCATTTCCTATTCTTTCTGCCCTGTTCCCACCCATTCTCTACAGGTAAACAATGTCATTAGTTTCTGGTTTATTCTATAGGTTTATTCTGTATTTTTGCACAAATGAATATATGTATGTGTATATATATTAAATATATGTATATGTTTATATATATAACATATGTATATACTTTTATAGATACATATATAATCTCATATCAGGGAAGGATTTCTTAAACAGAATACAGAAAGCACTAACCATAAAGGAAAACAAATGAACTGCATGAAAAGTAAGAATGTCTCTTCATCAAGACAGCATTTAATGATTGGAGGACAAAGACAAAGACTGGGAGAAGATATTTGTAGTTCATTTATCTAAAAAAGACTCGCATTTAGAATAGTTAGGGCTGGGTGCAGTGGCTCATGCCTGTAATCCCAGCACCTTGGGAGGCCAAGGCAGGTGGATCACTTGAGGCCAGGAGTTCAAGAGAAGCCTGGCCAACCTGGTGAAACCCCATCTCTGTTGAAAATATAAAAATTAGCTGGGCATGATGGCAGTTGCCTGTAAATCCAGCTACTCGAGAGGCTGAGGCATGAGAATCACTTGAACCTGGGCAGTGGGGAGGTTGCAGTGAGCCAAGGTCATGCCACTGCACTCCAGCCCGGGCAACAGAGCAAGAGTCTGTCTCAAAAAAATAAAATAAGAATAGTTAGAAAACTCTTCCAAATTTATAAGAAAAAGACAGATAACCCAATAGAAAAATGGACAAAAAACCGGAACAGGCACTTCACTACATGAGATCTCCACGTGACCAACAAACATACAAAAAGGTGAGCAACTTGGCTGGGAGCAGTGGCTCCTACCTGTCATCCCAGCACTTTGGGAGGCTGAGGCAGGCAGAACACCTGAGGTCAGGAGTTTGAGACCAGCCTGGCTGATGTTGGTGAAATCCCATCTCTACTAAAAATGCAAAAATTAGCTGGGTGTGGCGGCACATGCCTGTAGTCCCAGCTACTCAGGAGGCTGAGGCAGGAGAGTCACTTGAACCTGGGAGAGAGAGTCTGTAGTGAGCTGAGATTGCACCACTGCACTCCAGCCTGGGGGACAGAGTGAGACTCTGTCTCAAAAAATAAAAGAAAAAAGAAGGTGAACAACTTACTGCTCACAGGGAAATGAAAATTAAAGCTGAAATACCACTACATACTCACCAAAATGACTAAAATGAAAATAATCTACTATTGCAAGTGTTGGTGATGATATGGAAGAACTGAACTGGTGAGAGTATAGCTTGTTAACAACCATCCTGTAAAAATGTCTGCCAGTATGTAATAAAACTGAACAGGTATAAGCCCTATAACCCAAAACTTCTATCCCTGGCTTGTGGTACATTTTTATGGTAATGGCTCCCCAAGGATTCATGCCTCCCTGTGTCCACATCCCTTTCTACTGTAATACTGCCACTCCTCCCAGCAAGAGATGGATATTTCTTTAACCCCTCTGAATTCACGGTTGGCCTTGGGACTTGTTTTAACCAATAGAGTATGGCAGACTGATTTCCCAGAGTTCTAGCACATAGGCCTTAAGAGACCCTGCAGCTTTTTGCCCTCTTGGACCCAGCCATCAATAAAGAAGCCCAGAAGAGCCTACTGGACAGACAGGCGGCATGAGAAGAAGAGAGGTAACCAAGTTTTTTTGTTTGTTTGTTTTTGAGATGGAGTCTTACTCTGTCACCCAGGCTGGAGTAAAGTAGCACGATCTCAGTTCACTGCAACCTCTGCCTCTCAGGTTCAAGTGATTCTTGTGCCCCAGTCTCCTGAGTAGCTTGGATTACAGGTGCATACCAACACATTCAGCTAATTTTTGTATTTTTACTACAGATGGGGTTTTGCCATGTTGGCCAGGCTGGTCTTGAACTCCTGACCTCAGGTGATCTACCTGCCTTGGCCTCCCAAAGTGCTGGGAGTACAGGCATGAGTTACTGCACCTGGCTGAGAGGTAACCAAGTTAATAGCTAATACCAAAGTCCTAGACATGTGATTAAAACCATGTGATGTTTCCTGCACAGTCCAGCTAGATGAGTGAGCTTGACTGATAACACACGGAACAGAGGAAAGTTGTTCCCAGCAAGCCCTGTTCAAATGCCTGACCCACAGAATCACAGGCAATAAAATGGCTGTTGTTTTTAAGCCATTAAATGTGGGGGTGCTTTGTTAGGTAGCAACAGATAACGAAAAATGAGTATACAGCAAAAGAAATGCATACATATTTTACCAAAAGGGACATGTACAAGAATGTACATGGCACCACCATTTAAATCACCAATCTGAACACAACCCGAATGCCCATACACAATCGAATGGATCAGTTATGGTATATCAGTAAAATGGAATATTATTCAGCAATAAAAATGACCAAATTACAAGGATGATTCTCACAAATGTAATGATGAGCAAAAGAAGCCAGACTCAGGGCCAGGCACAGTGACTCATGCCTGTAATCCCAGCACTTTGGGAGGCTGAAGCCGGGAAATCACTTGAGGTAAGGAGTTTGGGACCAGCCTGGCCATCGTGGTGAAACCCTGCCTCTACTAAGGATACAAAAATTAGACAGGTGTGGTGGCAAATGCCTGTAATCCCAGCTACTTGGGAGGCTGAGGCAGGAGAATCACTAGAACCTGGGAGGTGGAGGTTGCAGCCAGCTGAGATTGTGCCACTGCACTCCAGCCTGGGCAACAGAGCGAGACTCCATCTCCACAACAACAACAACAACAACAAAACATTAAAAAAAAAAAAAAAAGGCAGACTCAATTGAGCATATACCATATGCTTCCATTTATATAAAGAAGTTCAAAGACTAATCTAGGGTGTAGAAGTCAAGAAAGTAGTTATGCGATGAAGTGGGGGTTGGGGAGTGCTACAAGAAGGCAGGATGGGAAGCTTCTGTGGCTCTGATCATGTATTATTTCTTGTTCCAGGTGCCGGTTACACGGATGTGTTTAGTTTGAGAAAATGTACTGAGTCATATAATTTGTACACTTTCCTGTAATGTATGTTATACTTCCAATAGAAGTTTGTATAAGAAGATTAAACCACTGTCCCCTTCTTTAATAAAAGTATTTTTCTTGTATTTTAAAATCACCTACGAATTTTTTAAAAATGCAGATTAAAAAAACACAGTCTGAGTAAACATCTCTGGGCTGGAACCCAGCCATCTGTGGCTCTGAAACTCCGTATGTGATTCTGATGAAGTAAACCTGGGTTGAAGTATTAGGTCATTAGCAGAAAGTGCTGTTTTATTTCATCATTATCATATTTCCTCTCAAAAACATCTTTGCCAAAGAATATGAAGCATAAACAACTGTCTTCGAATTGCAGCTATCTAAAAGAATAAATGGCAAAGTACCCACTTCCACCCACTCCCCACTCCTTAGGTTTGGCTATTTCACCATTCAGAAAGCTTCTACAGATCATTAAATGCTTTAATTAGTTTCATACATATGCACTTAGCTCAAATCATGCCCATTAAAACACCATTCTTTTACCACTTCACTTTGAAGAGTACTTACCAGATTATTTAAAAGATGCTCCTAGATGCCATACACATTTTAATGACAGCAAAAAAAAAAAAAAAGTGATTGGCCCAAATTAAAGCAAAATGAGCCTTTAAGTCTGGGATCTGCCTTGAGATAACAGGCAGATCTTAATTTGCAGGAGAAATACATAGTTGTAAAAAATTATAATTTTGAAGTCATTTTTGAACTACAACTCCATTGCCTGTCTCTGCTTCAGAATGACTAGATTATGGATAGACAGACAGAGAGAGAGATAGAGGAGAGAGAGGACAGAAAACAGACACGATGGCTCCAACTGTTTAATCTGCCATTTTCCCCAGATCTGCTGCATGAAATACTCAAAATATTTTAATCTCTCAGCACAAAAGTTTTGTGGATGAAAAATAAGGCTCCCTCTGCTAAGCTCCTGTTGTGCACTGGTAGACTGTAGTTCAGAGAAGGCATTCAGCAAGTGGAATATTGAATGAATTCGAATTCAGTTTTTGGAAAAGTGAAAAAATTAAATGGCCAATTTAGTTGACACCATCCAGAGAAGGAAAAAGGCCACTTGAACCAATGTGCCAGTTCTTGAGTGTCACATAAACAAAAGAGGAAGGCATCTTTTAAATTTCTTAGTGTTCTCCCATCTTCAGAATTTACAGCTCTTGATGAGGACAATTCAATATTTAATGACTACTTTTGAAAAGACTAGACTTTTTACTTACCTATCTCTTCCTTACGTATATGTTTGTAGTTTTCCAACATGAAGGTAAAGAAGTTGCATAACTGGACAAAATAAAAATACATTAATCAATGAATGAACGCCAAACAGCCACTGTGGCGAATGCTGTTGGTGTTCCACCTGAGTGCCCTTACTCTTCTGGAGCATTCCTATCCCAGCTGTTGCAGGTGCTAAGGGTCACATCTACGACTGCCTCCAGAGGACTGCCTGCATCCCAAGCAACACAGGATAACACATGAACACCCCTCCTGTGGGGCTGCCCACATACCACCACTGGCTGAAGTAAGGGTGTAACGGCCCATTCCCCACCTCCCTTGCCTCTGCCAGGGACAAACTGTAGTGCATCGTACACTTGACAGCTCCAGATGGGATCAGGCTGAGGTCAGACTTCAAAAAGTGTATCTTGGCCTAGCTTCTTCCCTGTCCTGTCTTGCATTCCTCACTCCCTTACAAGCTTTCCCTGAAAACACGCCCTCAGTAAGTCACTTGTACCAGAATCTCTGTCTCAGCCTCTGCTTCTAGGAAACCCAACCTAAGACAGCTACTAAATTTTGTTCATTATAATCTCTTCTTTCATTTTTGGTGGTGAGATTAAGAGTTAAGGAATATTTTTAAATATCAAATATGTTTTGGAGATAAAGGAAGGGAAAGGTGGAAATCCACCAGCATTCTAGCCATGATCTGGGTACTGGCTCTATGACCACCAGAGAGCTGCGTTTGTACAACACAAATAACTTCTTTTTCAAGGCTGGCCTCTCATGAAAAGTAAACACTTTATCAATCTGGGGTAGATCTGGCAGTTGGGAACCAAGAGAAGGAAGACTTTCCATACAATTATCAAAATGTACGATTTTAATGCTGTTGATGATGAGTTTGTCAATTAACAGTCAATAGAAATGACAATGAGATATCAGTTCACACCCACTATGAGAGCTATAATCAAAAAGAGACAATAACAAGGGTTGCCAAAGATGTGAAGAAACTGGAGCCCTCATCCACTGCTGGTGGGAAGGCAAAATGATGGAGCTGCTTTAGAACACAGTTTGGCAGCTCCTCAAAAAGTTAAGCACAAAGTTATTATATTACACAGCAATTTCATTCATAGGTCTATAACCAAGAGAACTGTAAACATCTTCACACTAAAACTTGCATACAAATGTTCACAGTAGCACTATTCATAATAGCCAAAAGGTGGAAACAACCCAAATGATCCATCACCTGAGGAAAAGATTAACAAAATGTGGTCCATCTATACAATGGAATATTATTCCGCCATAAAAAGGAATGAAGTCTTGATACATGCTACAACACAGGTGAATTTTGAAAGCATTATGCTAAGTAAAAGAAGCCAGGCCGGGTGCAGTGGCTCACATCTGTAATCCCAGCACTTTGGGAGGCCAAGACGGGTAAATCACAAGGTCAAGAGATTGAGACCGTCCTGGCCAACATGGTAAAACCCCGTCTCTACTAAATATACAAAAATTAGCTGGGTGTGGTAGCATGCACCTGTAGTCCCAGCTACTTGGGAGGCTGAGGCAGGAGAATTGCTTGAACCCAGGAGGCAGAGGTTGCAGTGAGCTGAGATCACACCACTGCACTCCAGCCCAGGCAACAAGAGCAAGACTCTGTCTCAAAAAAGAGAAAGAAACCAGACACAAAAGACCACATACTATATGATTCCATTTATATGAAATGGCCTGAATAGGCAAATCCATAGAGATAGAAAATAGATTAGTGGTTGCCAGGGACTGGGGGAAGGAAATGGGGGAGTGACTGCTAATGGGTATAGAGTTTGGGACGGGGAAAATGAAAATGTCCTAAAATTGATTGTGGGGATGTTTGTACAACCCTGTACATATACTAAAAACCATTGAATTGTACACTTTAAATGGTTTAATTGTTTGGTATGTGAATTACATCTCAATAAAAAGTCAACAGAAAACGACGTACTGGTGCTGGAATGTTTGTGTCTAAAGCACACCAATTTGGGGTTCACTCTACTTTTATATTTATCACTGTATTCTACAGTGCTTAAAAAGATCGCCTATGCTGAGCTTCCTAATCTAGACAAAGGGAGTGTCTGATTGAATCACAGTATATCATTTTTCTAGCTGCCAAAAATAAATCCAAGAATTTAATTCTTTTTGGAATGTTCTTAATTATCTTTAAAGATTATAATGTGATACATAGATGTATGATTGCTAAAAACTACAAACAATATCAAATAAAAACGAGAAGTCCCTCTTAACATCTGAACCCACCCCCATCAACACCACTCCTGTTCTCAGAACTACTGTAAACAATTTGTTGTGTATCTTTTTCCAGACTTTTCCTGTATGTTTCATGTTCCTTCACATAAATGGGATAAACTCTACATATTGTTTTACAAGTTGATTTTTTCATTAGCAGCTATATTGTAGATCTTTCTAAGATCTAAGATCTTTTTATTGTTAAAAGTACTTTTTTAAAATTAATGAGCATTAAAACTAGATTTATGTATTATTTAAAAAGGCATTCCTCGGCCAGGTGTGGTGGTGGCTCATGCCTGTAATCCCAGCACTTTGGGAGGCCGAGGCGGGTGGATCACCTGAGGTCAGGGGTTCGAGACCATTCTGGTCAACACGGTGAAACCCCGCCTCTACTAAAAATACAAAAATTAGTTGGGCGTGGTGACAGGCACCTGTAACCCCAGCTACTCAGGAGGCTGAGGCAGGATAATCACTTGAACCTGGGAGGCGGAGGTTGCAGTGAGCCGAGATCATGCCATTGCACTTCAGCCTGGGCTATAAGAGCAAAACTCCATCTCAAAATAAAAAAAAAATAAATAAAGGGCCTTCCTCACCCATGTATATTTTCTTCTAGAGCTTCCAGAGATTTGTTCCTAGGAAATTCTGCCATTTTTTAACTCCTTGAAGTATTTTTTCTTTCATAAAATGACAACTTCATTTCCTATTAGGGCATCTGCCCCAAAATAGAATAAGGCTATTTTTATTAGTTAACCAGACATTGGGCAACCCTCTCAAAAATGTTAATTTCAAAACTGAAAAACACTTTTCCCAAAGCATACTCTCTCTTAATAACTAGTTCCAAGACAATGTCATGATATATTCCGTTAAAGCCTTTCACCAAGGTTCCTCAGCTTAAAATGGACCCAAACTTTCATTCTTTCAATAACAAGGGGTAAAGAGAATCATTTTACCAACAGAAGAGACAAGTTTGCAAAACAGACCTGTATTTGGTCTTGTTCATCAGCATATTCGATGGACTGGAAGATGGTGAGGGCATACTGTTGCCTGGCCTTCAGTCGAGCTCTGTAACCTCGGAACCAGTTCTGGATGATCAACACAGCTCTTAGTGCTGCAGACCCACAGAATACAAAAGTCAGAGAAAAAAGTTACTATGCAACTATTGGGAGAAGTAGGTGCTTCAGTGAAAAAAAAAAAAAAGTCCACCTGGATTCCTAGGTTCTAAGAATATTGAACACCAAACAATGAGATTGACTTTTATGTTTTTTTGCAAAATGTCCTCACATCTCAAACAGTCAGAGAATAATGATGGCACAGCCATAAGGAACAGAAGTTTTGGAGTAAGACAGCCTGAACTTGAATCCTAGTTCTGCTAATTACCGTCTATGTAACTTTGGGTAAGTTACTAAAACTCTCAAAGCCTCAGTTTTCTCATCTGTAAAGTGGAAATAATAACAGCACCTACCTTTGGCATGACTTAGGCATAGTAAATCTATGAATCTATGTATACCCTATGAAGTAGTAATTTCACTCTTCACTACATACCCCAAAGCAATTCACACAGTCCATCAAGGAGACATATGGGGATGCAATTGCTTCTTTGTGGCCGTAGGAAGTTTGATACCAATGAGTCTGGCTGCCCATCATGAGGAAAGAGAATCTGTACCTGTGGTGGGCACATGCCACGGAGTGGCACAACACAACTGGAAGGAATAGATGAAATAAACCCATAGCAACCTATCCAGCAGGTCTTAAAAACATAGTACTTCCATTGGAACGGTTACTAAAAAGTCAGAAGCATAATGAAATACTACTTTAATCAATCAAACTATATTGATACACACAAAACCACAACGTATATTTCATAAGAACATATACAGAGGGAAAGATGCACACTACACATAATGGACCAGTTATTTTATTTATAGGGAGGTGAATGAGCATGGGGTACATGAATAAAAGGGAATAAACTAATTAAGGTAAGAATGGGTCTTGCACAGACCGATGATGATAAAGTACAATGAGCTGTTGGAGAAGTATGATTCACGCCACCTTCTGCACCTGAGATTCGATTGATAAAATGCAGGTGGATAACCCCCCCCCCCCATAGAGTTTCTATGAGGATGAAATGAGAGGTTACAAGGGAATAGTTTAGCCCAATGCCTGGTAAAAAGCACATGCTCAGTAAATAGTAACTGGAAGTACTGTCTTGTTTGTGGAGTATCCAGGCAGACTGTCTCTCTCCTGAGGCAGGTAGCCTTTGAACCATCCTGTAATTTCATCATATTGAAGAAAGAAATCAGGTGAGAGATAATGAGATTTAAAATACAGTCTCTTATGCCTCCTTGAGTTTTAGAGTGAAGAGCAATCAACACCAGCTGGCTCCTTTTATTCATGTTATCATTTCTCCCAGTTGGTGCATAAAAATTAGGAGTTGACTAAAACAGGAACAATTTGAGTTCTGAAAGCACGGATCCAGCCTCCAGTCCCAGCATCCTCTGGTTTAGTATTGCTGCAGTACACAGAATATGCCAGGATCTGGTATCTGACAAGGTTGATTTATTAGCTTCCCCAAGGCTCCTGGGTTCCAGGAACTCTTTCCATTATTCAGCTTCCAGAAAACCCCAGGAAACAGACCCAAGGTCACACATCATGAGCCTTACAGGGAAAAACCACAGGAAAAAGAAATAGAGTGATGTGTTGTGGTGTTATGATATACATATGATATGATTTGGCTGTGTCTCCACCCAAATCTCATCTTGAATTGTAGCCCCCATAATTCCCACGTGTTGTGGGAGGGACCCAGTGGGAGATAACTGATTTTGGGGGCGGTTTCTCCCATACTGTTCTTGTGGAAGTAAGTCTCATGAGATCTGATGGTTTTATAAGGGATTTCCCCTTTCACTTGGCTCTCATACTTTCTTGTCTGCCACCATGTAAGACATGCCTTTTGCCTTCCACCATGACTGTGAGGCCTCCCCAGCCACGTGGAACCATGAGTCCATTAAACCCCTTTTTCTTTATAAATTATCCAGTCTCAGATATGTCTTTATCAGCAGCATGAAAACAAACTAATACAAGATATATAGACTAATACGTGTGTGTGTGTGTGTGTGTGTGTGTGTGTGTGTGTGTGTTTTCATCCATAGCCCTGATACAGTCTTTTATTATGATGTCCAGTATGTTAGGCCTCAGGGGTAGCCTCTGACCTTCTCCTGTTCCCTTTTCACCTGCCCCAAGGCTCTAATCTTCCCCTGACTTTCTGATTGTGGGCTTAAGGCTCTATGCCCTAGGAGAAGAAATACTGTTGTCTTGAAGCCTTCATAAACACCCAAGAGAACTTGGTTCAGTGAGCTTCCAGATAGCTGAACATTTGAGGTTCCGGAAAAGTGGTGTGCCCCTTCCCCCATGCCTCACCCTATACATCTCTTTATCTGTTTCCTTTACAACATCCTCTATAATAAACCAGTACAGGTAAGGAAGTGGTTCTTTGAGTTTTGTGAGCTGCTCTAGCAAAATAATGGAACCTAAAGGGGGGTCATGGGAACCCCCAACTTGAAGCTGGTCGGTCAGAAGTTCTGGAGGTCTGGGCTTGCAACTGATGTTGGGATGGGGTGGGTAGGCAGTCTTGGGGACTGAGCTCTCAACCTGTGGGATATGACACTATCTCTGGGTAGACAGTGTCAGAAACTGAACTAGAGGACACCCAGCTGGTGTCTGCTGCTTGGTGTGTGGGGAAAAGTCCCCACATATTTTGTCACAGAAGTCTTCTTTGTTGACGATCATTGTGATGTGAGAGTGGAGGAAAATTATGGTTAGAGGAGAGAGTTTTTCCCTACACACTTGTTTAACCTTGCAAAGCAAATAACCGGCAGTGGCATGGCTGAAATCTCAAGTGTCCTCACAATATCATTATGGAGGGTCTAGGGTCACCTGAAAGGCCTGTTCTGTGGGACAGTCGCTATCAGGATGAATCACCCTCTGGCCTCAGGGGTTCTCATACTCACAAGCACAATGGCGCCTTTCCAGTGCCACTTCCTGAGCACTTATGAAAGGCCAGGCATTGATTAGTCCTGCAGTCCTCACAGGACTGCGAAGCTGACAGAGACTGAGGAACTCACTAAAGTTCACTTAGCTGGTAAGTGGAAATGGACAGTAAGGATTCGAACCCTGGTCTGACTGACTCCATAGCCCTAACTCTTAACCTCCATAGAGCGCTACTGATCTGTTTCTGTGCCTCTGCTTCTTCATCTGCACAATGATGTTGTGGAATAAATGATCACTAAAGTCTCTTCTGTTTGGTATTAGCACCTGGCCAAATAAACAAGTTTGGCCAGGTGTGGTGGCTCATGCCTGTAATCTGAACACTTTGGGAGGCTGAGGTGGGCAAATCACTTGGGTCAGGAGTCTGAGAACAGCCTGGCTAACGTGGTGAAACCCCATCTTTATTAAAAATACAAAAATTAGCCAGGTGTGGTGGTACATGCTTGTCATCCCAGCTACTTGGGAGAATGAGGTGGAAGGATCACTTGAACCTAGGAGACAGAAGTTACAGGAAGCCAAGATCATGCCACTGCACTCCAGCCTGGGAAACAGAGCAAGATTCCATCTCAAAATAAATAAATAATGGAGCATATTATTATTTCTCTAATTAATAATAGAACAAAATAACCATCATATGTTAAGGGTCTATTATAAGACATTTGGTCCTCACAAGTGCCATCATCTCCATGTTACACATAAGAAAATTCTGAGTTCAGAAAGGTGAGTCTCTTGCTCCAAGTCACTTGCCTAGTATGGACTCAGGTCCCCTGGCTCTCTCCAGTCTAGTCAGTTACTTCATTCCCTAATCTATTTACACTTTCTTTCCTTTGAATAATAATGGCCACCATTTCTTTCTTTCTTTCCTTTTTTTTTGAGACAGAGCCTGGCTCTGTCACCCAGGTTGGAGTACAGTGGCGAGATCTCGGCTCACTGCAACCTCCACCTCCTGGGTTCAGGCAATTCTCTGCCTCACCCTTCCAAGCAGCTGGGACTACAGGTGACTGCCACCACGCCCAGCTAATTTTTGTATTTTTAGTAGAGATGGGCTTTCACCATCTTGGCTAGGCTGATCTTGAACTCCTGACCTTGTGATCCACCTGCCTCAGCCTCCCAAAGTGCTGGGATTACAGGAGTGAGCCACCAGCCAGCCAGCCACCATTTCTTGAATGCCTACTAAGTGGCTTGCACTAGCTGGACACCTGACATCTACTACCACTTTTCCTACTGCCTGATGTGGGGAAGGGGCAAGCTAGGCCCCCTCCCATCTCTGCCTGGCTTCCATCCCCACCCCATTCTCCAAGGGAGGAGCTGCTGTTTTGTTTGGTTAACATACAGTACGTTCATTGGGTCCCACTAGCGGGTGTGGAAGCTGTGCTGTAGGAGGTTATAAACATCCACAGTCCCCTCTGTCTTCTACTTCCTCTCCTACTCCAAAGTCAGGAAGTGGAACTGCCCCACCCCACCCCAGCGTGGGAAGCAGCCGTCTCTGTCTATGCTCATATGCCTGTACCTGAGCACACATGCCACTTATTAAGCTATCATGTCTCAACTGTAACCCCACCCTTCCCCAGTCAGCACAGTGGTGCTGAGGCTGGGACTTTGCAGACCCCATTTCAGCTTCGTCAGTTGCCCCCTGTGAGGCTCTGCCAATAGGGGTGGGAAAGGCAGACTGCAAGGCTGGAGGAGGGACAAGGGACACACTCCTTCCTGTCTGCTTCCTGTTCCTGATAGTGTAACCTAGCAACTGCTCTTCACCCAGGGAGCACTCATTGGATCCAGTTTGCAGTTCATCCAGCACTTGCAAAGCCAGTCTCATGGCAGCCCTGGAGACATCAGCACTGGCTGAGTGTACCACTTCTCAAAGGTCTGAGCTTCAGTTCTGTGGGACCCTCCTGCAAGTTTCTAAACTGGAATAATTCCACTCTATTCCCTTTGTTCTCTCAGCTCTAGGGTGGTAACTTCTCTGCAGTTGCTATAATTCTTTACATTCAATTCTCTCTGTTCAAATCACTCTTATGGTTTCTGCCTCCTGACTAGACCCTGCCTGATGAGTTCATCTTGGAGGGG